TGGACCACCTTTTGGTACTAACTGGAATTTCTGGATACTTTAAGCTTGTAACTTAAGGAGTGTAGGGCAGCAAGCTATCCTGATGTGGCTGTGTTCGTTTGTGCTTGACATGCTCTTGGAAACCGATGCATAGAGCAGGTTGAATGTGCAGAGCTATGTAAGCTTTCACAGCTTCCAAACCATAGGAATGTACAAGATCAACTTTCAGGACATCGAAAACTCAGCATAACAAAGGCCCCCCAAACTTTAACTGCTTCTGACAATAACATTAATACTTTCCACACGGGTTGTTTAAAGATAGAAGTTCCATAGAAGTTCCATGCAGCAGGTTATGTTTTTTTTGTGAATGTTTTGTGTTATGTGTATGTATATGAAAATATTTGTATGTGAACTTCCAGCCCTGTTAAATTGTAAACTGTGCAGAAACTGCACAGTCCTTTCTTATGTCTTTTCTTTAATCTTCAAATGGTGTCCTTGCAAAAAATCTGCTCTGATTAAGTTCATTACATCTGAAGCTTCATTTGAATTTAATCTGAATACAGATTTCTGCTTCCTTTCTTTAACTGACTTATTTTGCTATAGCTGATTAGATGGGCTGTTTTGTCTTCAAGTTAGTTGCCTTTTCTTACCTGATAAAATAAGCTTGCATCTATCTATCTATCTATCTATCTATGTACCTGATAAAATAAGCTTGCATATATTTATCTATCTATCTATCTTTTTCCTCCTCACAGAGATGTAGATCTGTTTAACATAAGAGTTTCTAGACATTTGGATGAAAGAATATTGAAGAAGTGAATTAGTTATATAGTTCATAGTTATGTGTTTTTTTCCCCAAGTTTTTTGATGTTATAGTTTGACACAGCCAAAATCTAGAACTGCTGAAAAACAGAGAGGAAAATGTAAAGAAGGAAATAGCTCAACAAATGCAGAACTCAAGTTAAATACTAATATGAGAGGTGAATGAAGCATGTTTTTCAGAAGACAACCTCATTAATTGACTAAGTATTTTCAATATTGCTTTAGCTTGGAAAGTAAATGAAAATATATCATTGTAATATTGTAAGCAGTAGTCTAACTAAAAACTTTAATATATTAGAACGTTTCTTAATCTGTCTGACATAGGTAGATGAGTGATAACATATTGTTACTTGTTTTTCTATTTACATACTTTCCAAGCAATATGCAGTGAAAACACTTTCAAAACAGAACCTCTTGTTCAAAGCTTGTATCTTAGTTACCCACTATGACTCTTAGTATAAGTTATTTTTTAACAAAAACCTGGCTGGTGGTAGTCACTTGATACTTGCTATTGCTTCCTGTAGTCTTGTAGGACAAATTTCTTTACACAGATAAAGAAGGGAAAAAGAGACAGAAGACCCAGAATTCTTGTTCTGATGAAAGTATTCACGAGAGCAGAAATGTTACGTGCATTGCACAAATACACTGATGATAGGCATGAAGTACTTGGCTCCTTTAAGAGTTGCCATTTATGTTTAGAATTTTACTTTACTGACACAAAACCTGTAAAACCTTATCTCAGATACATTCAGCTGTTTCAAATTCATGTTAGTGTTTCACTGCTGTGAAGCTAATTGATATAAACATAAAACCATCTTTCAGTGAAATGAACAAAAAACCAAAGTGACAGAGAAGAAATTCACTTAGTACCTCTCTTGAAGCTGAGCATAGAAAGAAGAAAGCTAGGAGTTATTCAAGAATTAAAGCAATGGTCTTTACATCTACATTTGCATTGTTTCCTATAAATATAAGCATACCTGTTTTAAATACAATAATGTGTGATTGCAGTTTTTGCTTCTGTTTTATATGGTCATATTGCTCCTCAAGCAAGCTTACATCCATCTTGGTTGGCTGCTTATCACGATCTGAAGCCTGTTGCTCTGAGGTATGAGTCACTGAAAAAATACCAGTCGTGTATTTGTAAGCCTTCACCATCTGTTCCAACAAGGAAGAAAAAGTCATGCAGAAGCAGGACGTTTCCTTCATTGTGTTGGCAAAAAAAGCAAATCAAGTATGAAGCATCTGAAATCTTCCTAAATGAACAAGTAACTTTTTTCTAAGTACGGTGACTTCTTTCAGAAGTTGCGTGGTCTACTCTGAAGTTGTGGATTTCAGTCAGCCCGTTTTGCTGCAGTGCATCTGGAGCTACTGCATACAGAGTTCATGATTGTAACTGGATGGTTGGATTCAATGTTGACTTAAGGTTGTGAGCATATGAAGCTTTGCCAAAAAAAACAGTGAAATACAAAACCTCATTGAACACAGTCAGGTGCACAAAGGGGTGGGTAATACTGGTTTATGTAGTAATGTTAATTCTTAAAGGGATGCTGTCATGGTGACCTGCCGCAGACAGTAATTCCACCAAGGAAATCTTTCTTGAAGTTTCTTTCCATGTATTTTGTGTCTTTTCCCTTCCGCTCTTTCTTCCTTAACCTTCCCGTGCTTATTGCTCCTTTTTAAGAATGTGTTAAAAGTATTCAGGCCTGGGTGCAGAGTCAAAACAGTGTGTGCCAATGGCACTTGGAATGGAGAGGCTGGAGATGTGAGTGCCTTACTCTGACTTGTTCAGTTTTTCTACTTTTCTATATAATAAAATAAGCGATAGAAGTAATAATTTCCTTACTGAGAGCTGAACAAGCTCTTCAAATGCACGGCATGCCACATTTTAAAATTTCCCACGCATGTTATAGTATTATCTAATAATGAGGCAAAAATTTAAAAAATACATGGCTTTTGATCATATAAAATAAATAACAAGACTATGAACTGTATGTTTCTGTCCCTGAAATAATTCCATCTGATACCGTTGCAAGGGCCCAAAAGAGTAAGTAGTATGTGAAAAAAAGTGTAGTTAAAATAGTAGTTTTAATATAATTGTGCATTTGCTAGGTTCCTTGCAGTGAAAAACACTGCATAAAAACTGTGTGAAAGGGCAGTGTGTGGAAAGAATGCTGTTGTGCTGTGTTTTTCCAGTTACTGCCAGAAATTATGCGATGATTTGCACCATAAATGATTTACTGAATCAGGCTCAAATCCTGCAGATCTTAGGAATCCCTTTGGAAATTGTGCGTATGCAGGTGACAAGATTCTAGTTATGCAGCGCACAGAGTTCTGGTAAGGCTCAGCAGGCTCTTGTGTAAGTCTGCTGTACTTCACTTATTAGTAATTGCTTTTGCCTTCCCAGTATGCTTGTGTCTTGCAAATTGTGTCGCTTGCTGTTAACTGCAGTCTTTTTCTGCCTTAGCCACAGAAAGAGCAGTAAACATGATACTTTGTCGGACACTGTAGATGCTCTTCAAGCTAGCTTCTCTCTTGACCCTGGAGAAAGCAGGTGTCGTCTTAGGGTTGTTCTGATGCATCGTGGCTTTGATAGATATACTTTGATATCCTGCCTTCAGTAGTGACAAACACCTAGTGCTCTGTAGAAAGGAGTACCTCAATTGCCTTGTTTGTTCAGTGTTCTGAGTTGTTGGCGCATGGAGTCCTCCTGGACCTTCAGGCAGTTGGTTTATACATTGGGGCAGGAGATTTAATTAACCTCATTACAGTTTGAGCTGGCATTCAATACAAACATTATTAATGGTCATAAAAGTTACCCAACCTTTTTAAAATTCCAGTCACACTATTTGACTCGTTGACCTCCTGTGAAAGTGACTTGTGCAACCTGACTATGTGTGGCAGAACGAATTACCAGGATAGCATCCTTGAACATGAAATGTGGGCTCTGTCTTAAAAGATGTACACTTCTCATTAGAAGAGCATTTAAAATATATCGAGTTTGTATCTGATCAGAAATTATGATTATTATTAAGAATCCAGACGCCCAGCAGAACGAAGTAAATGAGTCCAGGTGGCCCAGCAGATCGCTGGAACCAGGAACAGGATTAGCTTTTCTTTTGCTGAGTCAATTCCATATACATTGCTGTTGGTTACCTTTTCAGGGAAAGGTTGTGAACGGGGCATCTTAAATCAGTCTCAAGAGGTGTGTATATATGCGTTTGTGTGTATGTGCTTTGCTATCAAGGCATGCGTGTAGTATACATGCACACACCCCCCACCTGTGTGTGTTTTGTGAATAATTTGCAACCAGGATATGATTCATAAAATGAGTTGCAGGTCTAATCTACATGATATCACAAAGTACATAGGGTTAATTGTGGTTTTGGTGTGTAGTGAGCTGATGTAACTAATCCTTGTTATGCCGCTGACACAAACTTGGAAATAGATTACCTGTGGGTTCTGTTCTTATACCGTAGTGGAACAACTGCCTTTGCACCACTAGCCTGTTTAGGTATTACTAATAAAAAAAATAATGAAATTTGTGTATTGTCATACATACAGACAAAATTATGACTTCTGTTTAAATCAGTCAATCGTTCAGTCTTCTCTAAATTGAGTTAACTTGGATCTGCAGATCACTGTATGCTTTTAAAATACGCAGCAGGTGGCACTATTGGAGTGGTATGTCTATCTTTGCCTTAGCCCTAAAATGTTAGAGGCCCCCATTTGGCTTGTAGGTTGCTGAGGAATATAAGCAGTCAAACCATTTCCTAGCACCAGTACACATATTTCCTAACAATACTATAGGTTCTGAGAATTTATTGCCATGGTTAGGTTTGTGTAAAAACTTGTCTTTCTTTAATTGAACAAACTCCTGTCAAAAACGTCATCTATGAGTGATTTTCTTTTGATTACCCACTGAAGTCTAAAGTGCCATATTTCCCTTAAGTCTGTTCTTCCATCACACAATGGAAGCAATTTTTCATTTCCTTGAGGCAAAAAAATTTGAGAATACTTAATAATCCAAAAGCAATGGCTTTTATAACTTGAAGTAGATGTTTACTGCCCTTGACCTTGGTTGCAAAACCTCATTTAAAAAGATGCAACTAATTTTATCTTATACTAATTAATTTGTGAGTGGTAAATTAGTTTTTTGTTAAAAAATTGTTTGGAGGACCTTCTAGGAATAATTGTTGATTTAAAGATAATTAAAAGTGCTCATAATGGTTAACTGACTGAATGCGCTTCGTGTAACACTGGATTTTACTGTACACCTGGGACCAGAGGTATACATGATTATTCACGTTGTTCATGTGCAGAATTATAGATATGTCCAACACTGTTCATGAAGGTTACAAAGATGGAATACAAATACCCATAGATTTTAACTGGCACTGAGAAGGAAAATCAAAGTTACTGGGATAATCCCCTTTCTCTAGCTTTCTACAGTGTCTTTTTTTTTTTTTTTAAATTTAAATGCAGTCTTGAAGTGTTTCTAAAGTGACTATTTTATTTTTAGAAAGTGTAATAACAAAAGGAAAGGTAGAAAAAGGGTGTCTGCTATTATTTGGGTTCCAGACGGTATTAGTAGAATCAGTAGTAATTGGTTACTATTTAATGAAATTTTGGATAGGAGCACATATATTTCTATTATTTGAAAGCACAACCTTAAAGCATGCCACTATTAGGGACTGGTTAAGTAGGTAGAGCACAGGACTTTCTGATGATGTAAGATTATTTTTTGGTGCTCTCTGCATGTCCATACTAATGAGATGAAGGAGCCTACGATGCAAGTTTTCAGTATGATCTCAAGATATTTCTTCTGATCTGACCTTTCATGTGTTTTCAGACACAAAGGGCTCAAGTGTGTCAAAGGGAGGGTGGCCCAGCTGTCCTTCGCATCCCTCTGGAGTTTTGGGGAGCTTGGGTTGTATGTAGTCCACCTTCACAATTCCTTGATAGTATTCTATTTTACCCCTTTTTCCTTTGGGGTCTTTATGCAAATAAAATTAGGCAGTGTGTGAGGTACATGTCAACATATTTGTATATTAAAAATTAATCAGGAATGGGTTTTTTTTAGCTGGTCTGAAAAGGTTGCCTGGTTAGTACAAGCCATAAAATGGTTTGCCAAATTTCTATTCCTTAGATCCCTGAGGTTCCCAAGTGACTGAACCTGGTACCACCGATCCAGCCCTAGTGATGGGGAGGGGTTTTGCAAAACACTGGTGTGCCCAGAATAAGGTAGAAGCTGTAGGAAGCTCTAGTTTGCTCCACCGGCACCTCTGATCCGGTGCTCTGCCTGGTTGGCTGTGAAGGCTTAAATCAAGGACACCAAGGTAGCACTGAGGATTTCATGCCTATCATCCTGTGCTTCACCTTTAATACTCGCATATCTGGCTTTGCATGTGTTGAGAACTTGGTGCTATCCAGTTCCCTTTGCAGAACCACATTCTGTTTTTTTTTTTATTTTGAGGAAGGTAAATGCAGTCACACTGAAATCGCTGGATTCATCTAAGTCAAATTGAATCGTGCTGGTTGCAAGGAGTTAAATGCAGCAGATATTCTGTATGTGTTTTTTGTGCCTGGCATAAGCAGCATTTAAAAACTTCTGTCTTGACTCTGTGGGTGCTGAGGATTAAGTAACCTTCCTTTGGAGTGTTACTTGCTGTGGAAAATAAACTAAAATGCTGAAATTTGCTCTGTTAGAGGGCGACTCGCTCTGTTGATTGTCTGTGTTATTACTCTCTCTGTGTAAACAATCAGCATCCAAAACTTAGAGTCAGGAGTTGTTGCTCATTTTGTAGTTCTGCTGTCCTTGCCCACTGAGAACTTCTGAGATTCCCTTTTAGAAGTGGCAGTGTGCAGAGGCAAGTTACCAGTTAAGAGATTTTAAACAAATGAACCCTGACTTTCTTTACCATTTCCCTTCCATCTTACTTCTCGAGTTTCTTAAATTAGTGTTACAAACAAGATGGTTAGATTTACTGCGTTTTGACCTCGTAAAATTGTTGATGAGTAGAGAATGAGAAAACTGAATGACCTTCATGGATAGTCCTATTCAGAGGATTTTGGAAATTCATTGATGCTTCCTTGATCCTACCAATGCCTTAAATTCCAGTCACTGAGAAGCAGAGTTCACATCTCTGGTATTGCTGCCTAAATATCTTTTCTATGCCAGCTACTTCTCAGAGTGTTTCCTTTCCATAGAGTTATGACGGCTACAGCTCTGGGCAGTGACAGTAGTCTGTGTTTGTTTGTTCTCCCAACATACATTATACGCATATAGGAACTCTGGAAGAATTTCAAGCAGGG